ATATATGACAAAAGTTGGGCATTTTTTATTTTCTCTAAAAAAAAACATTCTATGCGGGATCTGTATTCAATCGCTGTACGCCTCAAACATTAACAGTAACTGAAAAAAACTCGACTTTGATGACATTTCTACTTCGAAAGCATGCTGTGACTGACTCAAGATCTTGTGCGACGATATTTATTCAGAGCATACACGTTGACAGCGTGATCGGCGGTCAAAGCGGTTTATTCACTAGCTACGTAAATAATCTGGTAAGACACCTCTATGAACAACGCCTTTGGAACCACCGCCGGTTCCTACAGAAATCCTCAGTGTAAGGCTTTTTGGTCAGGCGTTAAGTTCCGTGAAAAAGGAGATGAAGAGTACCTTTCTAGATACGAGACGTAGAATTAACCTTAAATTCAACCCAAGAAGCAAATGTGCATCGTTCAAGCTATCTCTAAGGTAGAAGGCCAAGCGAGAGGATGTGCCCAACCTCTGTAAACGAGGCATCTCGTAGTGGAAGTCAATTTGTGTTCGCTCCACCTAACAGGGTTTACATCATGTGGTCAGACAATTTCTATCCAAGAGAATCAGCGGGTGTATCCAAGGGTGAGAGCTGTAGTAGCAGGCATGGAGATCTATTGTGAGCGACTTTTAAGTCACTACAAGCACTAGCACGTATAACATGGCGCCCGGCCCTCTTCCGAAAAGAAAATAATTAAATCGGAGATGGTCAATCGAAAAACGGCTATTAAGGGTCTCCAAACAGGTAGGTCTCACGCTAGGACCTTCCATATCCGCATAATTATGTTCAAGGAAGCGATGAGTAGTTCATGTCAATTAACCTTAGACTCCGTGATCGATCAGATCCGTGACGGCGGACATTGTATGAGATCGCCCGAGGCGAAGACTTCAACCAAGCTGAGGTGATCGATTACCTAAGTAACGCCTAAATATTCATAAATGTTACATCTGTGGGAGAACCAAAAGGCAGGGGTGGCTGTGACCCTCTGTCAGACCATCAAATGGGGTTTAGCGATTGTATCTCAAGGCCTCCAGGATTTATTTCGGTTAGGACGGATAAGTGCAGTTGCGAGCTGGAGCTCCTCGAGTATATATGAAAAAATGAATATTGAGACTATGTGTCGCGTTTTCCACGGCAACCCCCTGTGAGGATAGGCGACTGTAGGATGCCAGTACAAAAGCCAGGTTCTAATGTAAATAATGAGGGCTCACCGTTGGCTTGATTTGACGGTACCGCTGAATCAGCAATATGCATGTCGTGTAAAGCTCCACGGATTGTGGCTGCAGTAAGGAATTTTTCCATTCATGGATATAGTGGACAAGATCATCTTATCTTAGGTAATTCTCGACTCATTACCCCAGGCAGAAGCTCTTGTTGAGTTGGAGAGTATTCCCTCGATCAAACAATGATTTGCCTCAATAATTGGTGCTTATACTTTGTTCCCGTCCGTTGTTAAGACCAATAACAGATTATTGAGTTAAAGAAGACAAGAGCTATCCTCAAGGATCCTTTGGGCTCTTATTCTTTTCGAAGAAGGTAAATCAGTGCAAATCTACCCACTATATAATAAAAACCTCAAAGCAACGATAGACAATATGTTTACACCCATGGTCTGTTCGACGAGAGCGATAATGGCACGCCCGTCACCATTTTATAATAAAGTGACATTTCAAAAAAGCAAATCTCGAGATTTAAAAAAATAGCTTGCGTCAGCATCTTTCTACACCCATTTGGATTCTGATCACCATTTTTGTATCTACAATGAATTTTGGCCATTCATTGGTTTCCCATACTAAAGGCAGATGCTAACATGAACAAGTGAAGTGCGTCGTTGCGCTTGAATCTTGCCCGCCCAAGGAAGAATTTTTTAAATTCATGACAGGCAGCAACTGGTAAAAAAGTATGCAATTTAATTTCCAAGGTACATATGCTCAGCTCAACGCTAGGTGTGATTAGTACCGATCTTGCATCGTTACGGACAGCGATATCGTCGTCAAATCTTTCCAACGAGCGACAAGAATGTGTTCCTTTTTGCCAGCTATGCCATCGAAGCATGGCACGCCGGATCGAAAAAATGTGGGGGTTCCCGTCGCCAAGATCACGAATGCAGCAAGTCACAATGGGCGACGTTTCGCGTTAACGATATGATACCTACGGCGTGTGGATCAGACACAACACGTGCTGCATCATTAACTGTTTGTAAGCAAGAAACTTTGCACTTGGGTGCCACTTTGTCTAAGTTTTTGGTCAATTTCACCGCTACGCAATTCCTAGAACTTTGCAGCATCACTGCACGAAACCGCTTGGGACACAAATTGATGATGAAAATATTAATGCAGAATTCTGTAAGCGGCGCATGATACCCTCCGGGGGGTTATCTTGATGAAGAAAAGATGTGCCGCTCAAAGAGCTTATAATCTGGTCGTTTAACATGTATAGGTGGATGAGCAATCATGTTTGCGCGTGTATAACGAGTCGGTGTGTTAGACGTCACATTCGTCCCTATAGCTAGCCTATTAGATCGACTTGCCTGTGGCAATTCCAACAAATCAAATTCAGCACCTGCAGTAAGATTTTGGCAAACTTTGTCCAGTGATCTTTTGACATATCCATGGCGTCCCATTGGAGGGCGATGATCAGCAAAACGCGTCTATCGCTCGACGGAGGATATTTTCGATGCGCCTTCGCAGAGAGTTTGTTGTTGGGAGAGCGACATGCCCCTATTCGTTTTTGTTGCGTTTAGTATCGCCATCAACGAAGCAAGAAGATTTACGATAAGCTTTGCAAGTGATATGATTACTATCGTGCACAACAAGGTTTATGCACCTGAACGAACCGCTTCAATGAATGTACAGAGGGGGGATTCGTACGTTTCACCGAAGCGTGAAACGGAAATTTTCTCAGGTAGGTGACTAGGTACACTTTTTCTATCCAGTAAATATAGCCTTTCGCTAGCTACTGGTATCTTCATATTGCTCCGAACATCTTGGACTCACTTATAACATTGTGACCCCGCCCAGGACGCTAAATTCGATCAAGATATAAACCGGATTTTGCTACTAAGTTTTGCCGTGCTGATATCAGCAAGTCAAATTATCTTGAAATACCCCCCCAACACCGGAACAACACGGTTGATGGTGTCAATAAGGCATCGAAGCTAATCCAGTCCTTGTATAAAATGGGAATGAAGTTCGTCGATACGTGTATAGCGATTACGGACGCAATATGTGCTCCAGCACCGTGGTCTCTCCACACCAGTGCTCATACAGATTTGCTTATTCAGTATTCAGCCTGACCATTTGTCTGTGGATTTTCTGCGATGTTAAACTTAAATTTGGTGCCAAACACCGTGATCATATTCGACCAAAATTTAGCTGACAAGCAAGGAACGCGATCCGATACAATGATACCCGGCAAATTATATGAACGAAAAATACTTCGTGAGATTGAGTTGCTGTATAAGCACCAGAGACACATCACAGATGAAACGTGTTGTTCGAACGGCCCCCAAAATAAAAAAGCGCCGTTATTACCGGACGCGTCTTTGGATGGCTACGGCGGGCGTCCACCATTATAAACTACCGATATTTTGCTCAAATTTAATAGTTCGGCAAAGGGGACCGACGTATGAGGTAGTATATTTAGTCTTTGCGACAATTAAGTGATCTTTATGGTCCATGTTGTTCGCTCGTCTGCAAGCGCAAGAGATACACCGTGTCTCTCCAACATCATTACGCAATATTTTTTTAAAACGAGACCGGTAAAAGCTGCTAAACACGCTGGGGCAATTCCTTACATGCCTATGCATACGTGCCTCCCACTAAAACGAAGAACGATACGAGCGCGAGGAGGTCGCTCAGCAAATGCTTTTCAGCCTGATGCATGGTCACCGCTCAGGAGTATCACCTTCACTTATAGCGGCAATTGTTGGGAGAGCCAAATCACTCCGTCAGAGATGTAAATTGTATACTGGAAGCTGGCAAGAGAGAGCAAAACTATCGGACTCGATTCACTCTATGTGTGAAATAAAACGTTGTCCACCTTTTCAAACCAGCTACAGCGAAGCGGACGCCCGTCTCAAGAACCGATCAATGCTTGACTATGCAAAATACAAAGCGCGACTTGTACGTTGGGTTAATACCCGCAGCTCCTGCCTTTATCAGCCCAGCTCGTTTCTATGAAACAGCTACCACAGCTTCTGACCCAGTGTCTAGATTTTCAGCAAGTTTGGACACCACACGCTAGTATGAAAAGCGCTGCGACTTGTGATCCTTCTTCAACCCCACAGGCTCTGACATGGGAAACTGCGACGCCAAGTCGCTTCTTATCATAATCAGCTCTGGCACAGCAGACGCCAGATTGCAGCTGATTTTGACTGCCCCACCCGAGATACACTCCCAGAGTCACAGCATTCAACCATTCTTTCCCGTATCAACATCCATCCAATCGAAAGACCGCATTAAACGAGCGCTTTCCTATGCCTCATCCTGAGACCGCGAGTGTTTTATACTTCTGCTTCTCACGCCCTGCCTCACGCAATTAGCCCCACCATTAAATGTCAGTCCGGGCAATTCATTGTGTTGCACAGAAGCAGTCAGAGTCACGTACCCAATCCAAAAGCGCTTATGCTTCCTGACAGACTAGATTAAGGACGCGCCATGGCTTTACCAAAAGAAAAATGCGTGTATTAAATCATTTTCTTTTCGAGTTGATCCATGACTTGTAGGATCCTCAGCCACATTAGGTAAAATCCTGAATTCAGGTCAAGGACGAGAAAACGTTTCATTCTGTCAAAGGCCACGAACTCAACTTGTAGGCTCACGACAACATTTGGAATAGGTTTATGGCAAGACGCACCAACATTTTTTCTATTTAGGCGCCGTATAAGCCACCGCTCCCCGTCCAGCGCTCGTGACACAAAATATGTACTATGCATATAATGCAAACCAACTGTTTATTCAAAGAATTAAGGTCGAAGCGTCTGTGCGAGCAGCATATATTTGCTGACCTGTCAAAAAGATATTATCTTTCATCGCCCTCGGGGGAGAGTTTGACTTTCGCGCCGCATTAAGCTACATTGTTGACTAGTAATCGACCTCCTTTACGGGTAGAAACAAGCTCTAAATGCGTCCGATATGCTTGGTTTGGCTGTGCCAGCATACGCGGCATGTGCCGCTCCAAATTTTCCATGTTAATAACGCCTCTTTGCAAAGGGATACTGCACCCTATTGCCCAGTTTGGCGGTTTCCTTGCTTGTAAATCGCAAGCGCGAAGCAACATCACTTCAGTAAGAGCATGGCCATCTCAACTATCCCATTTCAGAGGAAATTTTCTGAACGTACTAGCCGTCAAAGAGCCAGACAAAAAACATCAGTGGCCTTACGGTCGGTGTTATCAGCTGTCCAACCGCCACCCCATTGGGGAGGCTCTTAAAGCGACTTATCAGCGCATTCTGACAGCTGCGCCACCAGGCGATCTATTACCGCATCTGGCCCTTTTTCCGCCAAATCCTGGCCCCATCGGGACCAGTAATGGACATTAGTTTCCGAGCGTCTCCAGCTGATAAGGGGAAAGGTACTCGTTTATTTTAGGTTGCATCCGCACAGATGATACAGTCTTTTCACGACTGGATCGTGGTTTCTACTACTGTTGCTAGCAAGTGCAAGGGGGTTGCGATTTAAAGATCCTGCACTAACAGTTGCGCAGAACTTGATGTGAGGCTCGTGACAACTGTATTGCAAATGCCCAATTGCACAAAAGTGTGAGTTGTACACAACTAGTACAGTACTAACTTTGTTATTCGAGTTTTGCATTTGGGAACGCACAGAGAAGAGGTTGGTACGTGATACTGAGAAATTTCATGTAACTAAGTAATCATTTGCTATTCTATTTCAAGAGCTATTCGTTTTAATAAGGCGGGGCTGCCGTAGCTAAGTGCTTGAGGAAGCGTACTTTAGGTCACCGACCTTTCGATCTTTACAATAACCAAGTATGAGTTAGAGGATCGCAATCCGCTTACTCCAAGAGTAATCATTGCCTTCCTTCGGCTAACTGACTCTTCGGTTTAAATTCAAAACTGATTTTTTTTTTTTTTTTATCCAAATTTTTAAAGTTTTGATTTTCCTATATATACTAAACACAACACAGTAAAATCCAATTAGCTACTGGCTACCTAACCCCGTACCGTATTCTTGTTTGGGTGTGGTCACACCATGCATATCTCGTGTGACACTCTCGTGTGACACACACCCCTGTTATCAGGGTTCATGTAACCCCGTTACAATTATTAAACTAGTAGAATATATAAAAGGCATATTATACTCAATATATGCCCTGGACAAATTTTCCACATTTTTTCCGGACTTGCTCGAACAAAATTGCAATAGCTGCCGCACTTTTGCGAAGTGAGTAAAAAACCGATGAACTTCGGCTTGACGGCTCATTTTATAAACTCCTTCAAAATGCTATCTAGACTTAGTATCTACCGTTTCGAATAGGGAAGGCGGCCATTTAAAAAACAAATGTAAATATTTGCAGTAAATTTCCATAGAAAGTTTGCGGTTGATTAAAACTGCATTGTTGGTCACCGGCTTGCTTTTTCTTCATTTGCGAAAACTATATGCACAATGCGTCTTCTCTCCATTCATGTGGCCGATTGTTGTTTTGATTCATACGGAAATAATTTCTTACAGGCTACAGCATTCCCAATCTGAATTATACAACAAATATTTACCTAGAGTACCACAGTCAAACATTAAACACAGACTACGCGCAATTGATCGCGTGAAGTTATTTGAGTGAGCTATGGGGCAATGTCCCCGCACAGATGCTATTGGTAAGCCAGTCTTCTCATCGATAACCTTCGCCAAAGTCATGTAATTTTTAAATTTCTGGCTCATTTAATTTTGATCGAGGCTACACAAAATATTGATGGGAGCTTCCTATTATCTATCGAATTTTTTTCTGCTTTTTGTAAGGATATAATTGATAGCAATCAACTTAGAATTACTTTAGTTTCTTTTTAAGCTGCAATCCACCTCCTTACATCTATTCGTGACTTGATACTTTGTAGAGCAAAAGGTAGCGTTCTTCAGCCTCCTTCAATACGCAAATGTAAGCAGTGAATTTTCCTTTTTCGGTCCATTTTCTCCTAGCAAGCTCTTTAATTAACAAGGTGGAGGTTGACTTTTTATGCTATTTATTCTCCTAAGTATAGCGCCCTTGGGTTTTGTACTGTGTGATACCGGTACCAAACTGTCCAATCGAAAGCTCTACACCATGATTGGCTGTGGAGGCTTTTACTCATAAACATCATTTTCATTCTCGCAACAAATGAAGCATTTAATTACTTTCTGTGTTCCTTAAATTGCATGTGAACTCAACTGGACTTCTGGCGTGATCTCTCTTTCACAGTAGAGATCCCAGGGTCAAGCATTTCGCCCCGATGCGGAGCGCGCATCTTCTCTTGTGTAATCGCGGTGAAGGAACGCTCATGCTCTGTACCTATGTGAGGGACAAGCGAAGCAAACAGTTGAAAAGTGAAGTCTTGGTTGTTGAGCATATGGACCGGTTGGTAACATTCGTTACCTCTCAGGAATACTTGCTCCAACTGATTGATGGCACCATATTCCCAATCTTTTATGCTAGTCTCTTCGACAATAATGCTGGAGACTAACCATGGTGCAGACATATCAATTGCCAGTTTACTTTAGTCAATATGCGCTACACTTTAAAAATGACACTTACCTGAAAGCGTAAATGGTGGTATTCGCCTCTTGAGCATAAATTCAATAGCGTTAAGCTTAAGATGGTCAACGACGAGAAGTATATTGTATTTCACAACGATTCCACCGCTTGGCAGATACACAACATTAATGCCAAGAAATAATAAATCAAAGCATCTTTTACGTTTTGCTTCCACATTTTACACTTTGGGTAATCTGACACATTGCCACAAAGAACTCACTGACAGCGCTGGCAAAGAATTTTGGTGGCTAATTTATTCTAAGCTGCACACGAACAAGCGTTCCTATTGAAAACGGTGTATTTGTTACCGCGTCTAAATTGACGACAGCCCAAAAATTTCTTCACAAGAGAAAGTAAAACACTCAAGAGTAATGCTTAGTTACGTGAAGCCAACATTCAGACGAGAGTTAATATTTAAAATTCCCGCCTCGCTTTCCTACAGGTAAACTGTCAATTAGTTGGAAGCCTCGCGGCGGTAGCCGTCCTGACCGGTGCGGAGAAATTCTGGGTTGAAATCGCCAGATGGACCGACACCCTTATCTTTGTCAAAACGACCGCGGCCAAAGCCACCAGTGGGGGGGGCCTGCGGGCGTGTGGGACGAGCAGCCTGCTTCTTTAGTGTAGCTGGCACAATCTCAGCAGGAAGGTGTAGGTAACAGCGCAGGTACTCGATACCCTCATTCGTGAGGTACCAGTAAAACCACTGCCAGTTAAACGTCTCCTTGACATAGCCACGAGATTTTAACGACTGCATGAGCTTGATAACCTGGAGGTTTGGTACGTCCACAGCCTGGTGCTTAGGCAATGAAAAATCTTTCTTTGCCACCATAACGCCCTCCTTGAAGAGGTACGAGTACACAGCGATGCGATTTGCTTTCGGGACCAACATGATGACAGATGGATGTCTAGAAAGCTTGCCGGCGAGTGCGGATCTTCACGGGAAATAAGTGGCGAGGTTAGATGTGAAACCAGAATGGAGCCTCAGCCAACCAATGCCATCGTTTATTGCTTCTACCGGTAGTACCGGTACCGTTAGCTTGATTATTCATTAAAAGCAAATTGCAGCACAAAAGGCAACATCAACAGCGGTGCTCGCGTCACCGAGCCTGATGACAGATAATACAGGGAGATACTCGGTACTAATAGATCTTACAGCTGGTACTGTTGGCGGCATTGCAGGCGTTGTTGTGGGACAACCATTCGACACCGTGAGTATACAAAAATTTTGCCCTATTACTAAAATCAAGGCTGATTGCTATGTGGCGAGGTCGTGTAGGTCAAAGTGCGACTGCAGACGTATAGTAAGTTCTATATTGGTGCTCTCGACTGCGCCAGACAGACCGTACGCTGCATTAAATCTTGCCAACGAGTTTGTAGTAATTGGATAAGGCCTTACGGATTGCAATTTCTGTAGCTGAAGCATGAAGGGGTTTCGGGCTTTTTTAAAGGTATGACGTCACCCGTGGTCGGCAGTGCGGCGACAAATGCCGTTATGTTTGCAGTGTATGAACGCATGCTGAAGATGATCGATGACAATCCGGAAAATGCGACGCTTAAATCCGTTTTTTATGCCGGAGCTGTCGGAGGATTCTGGCAGACAGTTCCACTGGCACCTGCAGAGCTCATCAAGTGCAGGCTTCAGGTGCAAGATGGACGCAGAAGCAATCAGTACCGAGGACCAATGGACTGTATTCGTCACATTTATAAGGCCAGGGGTACGCCTGGTCTATTCCTCGGCTTCACGTGCACGTTGTGGCGCGAGGTTCCGTCATTCGCCGTGTACTTCTGGATTTACGAATACACTAAGCGCATGATGTTTAATGAAGGCATTAACTCGACGACGTCGATGCTGACAGCGGGTGGCGTTGCTGGTGTGGCTTCGTGGGTGGTTTCCTATCCTTTTGATGGTGCGTGATATTGTTGGGTGTCAATTAATCGAAAGAGTGTAGAGTTAATTTATCGTGTGCTTGGTGTAATATAGTGATCAAATCTGCGATCCAGACGCTACCAGTCCACCATAAATCGGGCGAGCACAAAATTGCGTATCAGGCTCGTCAATTGTATCGCCTTGGTGGATGGCGAATATTTTTTAGTGGCCTGGGTACTGCTTGTGTACGAGCATTTCCCTGCAATGCCGTGACTTTTTACGGCTATGAGAAATCCTCTGAGCTCTTGAAGAATGTGATACGAGACTAATCTTTTGCCACTAAAAAAAGTGGTACGAATAAAATTTATCGCAAAAAAAACTATGTGGTTTACATGATAAACTCCCGCTATCTTCGCCTCAGTCGCTAACTGGGAGTCTTTTGGTATGATTGCTCCTCGTAAACTCTTTCGTCAAAGTCTTAACACCATGGTGCTTCGTCGTCGCTTTGCATCCAAGGGCAACCGTGAGCACATTCTGGATTGGATGACAGGGCCTCGCAAAATGCTGAATGTGGCTTCGACCGACTTTGACACGATATCAGTGGGCTTCGCCAACGAGGATTCCAGTTCTGGCGTGCTACACTTGAAGCTTAACCGTCCCAAAGTTGTAAATGCTATGAATATGCAGATGTGGGTGGAGCTAGCCAAAGCTTTCGAGCTAGTGGAGGAAGATGTCACTGTCAAGGCCGTCATTGTATCTGGGGAAGGTCGTGGTTTTACGAGCGGTATGGATCTAGATGTCTTTGCACAGATGCAGAATGTCGCTATGGAGGAGTCGTGCGAGGGGCGAAAACGGGAAAAGCTCATGCGTGTTATTGACCGCTTCCAAAAAGTCATTTCAGCTGCTGAAAATTGTCGGGTTCCAGTTATTGCTGCTGTGCACGGGCCTTGCATTGGCGCAGGCGTTGACTTTATCACCGCGTGTGACCTGTGCTACTCTGACATGAGCGCAGTGTTCGCCGTAAAAGAAGTGGATCTGGCCATCATCGCTGATGTGGGTACGTTGCAACGTCTACCTAAATTAGTAGGCGAGCGACACGCAAAGGAATTGGCCTTCACTGGTCGCGATTTTGGTGGACTTGAGGCAGAAAAGCTTGGCCTTGTGCTTAAGACTTTGCCTGATAAAAATAATCTGATGAAATTTGTGGGGGATTTGGCAAATGCCATTGCCCAAAAGAGTCCACTCACAATTCGTGGAATAAAGCAGACAATTCACTTTCAAAGGGACCACTCGACAAAGGATTCTTTAGAGCAAATCCGCTATCACAATGCTGCCGTTCTGTATAGTGACGACTTAATGCTGGCTGTGAATGCGGTCATGAGCAAGACAAAGCCAAAGTTTCGCAATGATTGACCTAGGGAACGATATTGCGTACTGCTTTCACACTAGCCTTATTTTCAGCCAATCGCAAATTGTGAAGGTACTTCAACTGTAAACTCGGTTTGGTCTTGAGTCTTGTACCGCGCGACACAACTTATAAGTTATGACAACCTTCGTTGTTGAACAGGCAAATATTACTAGTATTTGTCGATTGAGCGGCGAATAATTTCTGTAGTGTTCTTCGATATTTTGCGGTATCTACTTGGTTTAAAGAAAAACGACCGTCCAATTTTTTTTATCGGCGTACGTACATTATAATATGGTGGCGAACAATTCTACGAAGCATATATAATGAAAGACTGATACTGATGATGACGATAAGACACCGTAAAAAAGAAGTTTGTGGAATATGTGGACTGTTAGCGCAGTGGATTTAGTATTGGACGCAATGTGAGATAGAATTGCAATTTGAAAGAAAATGAGGATGTACTATTTTATTACACTTGTAAATACTGTTGAGTACCGATGTATCGGGATTCTATGAACCATAAAAAGTACGAGGAGACAAAGTGTAATTTCACTTTGACCTGGTGTTGAACCCTCTACTACCAAGAAATATTACATTTATTAACATTTTCAATTATCTATTTTTTAGATACGATAATAATACCTGGTGGTCATTTTGGTTGTACACTGTTAGATCATACGGCCCAAAGTTAGAAGGTGGTTCTGTTACAAGGCATTAATTGCGCTACATTGTCTAGGTGGAGCATGGTTTATTGCAGGTGGTATATCAGAGTCTAGCTCGTCACGACAACGCAGACATCTTCGGATCAGTTCAATCTAAGTCAACTATAGGGACCCTTACCACTATAGTACTCAAGTCCTTACCAGCTTTAGCAATAGATTTTATCTGAATAGCAAGGCTGTATCGATCTGTCGGGAAGTAGCGCGTGCTTTTTACACAATAAATGTGAATAAGGCCAATCTTAAACAATGTACGTCAATCTCAATCTCAGCTTGTTTTCGCGATGGTAAAATGGAAAGTGAGCTACAACATCGTACGCTACTTAGTTG